GAGCGCATGGAGCCAGTATGCCAACTGGGAGATGTAGAAAAACTTCATTTGAAAGCTGTGTGAGAAAGCAAACGTATCTTTTAAAGTACAGTATTTAAAATGAAACAAAAGAACCCCAAAACGAACAGGCGCGAGAGCCCGGGGTAGACGAGGCAGCCATGTTTTCGCTGTCGTTTCACGAGGCTGAGCCATCTCTGCGCAGCTTGAGCAGCGGCCGGCTCGCTGGGTTTGCCCACCGTGCAGTCCACCGCGCTGCCGCAACGCTGAGCAAAGCCACTGCGAGCGGAAGCTGAGCCGCCTGCCTGTCAGTTCCCGAAGGCTGAGGAGGAGGTCATGCCAGCTATGGGCATCCACCGGGGCACGGCTGACCCACAGACCTAGAAGGCTCCACCAACGGGGAAATGGGGCAAGAGACCACCCGACGGACGTCACAACGAAACCCATTAGTTTGTATCAAATACATGCCCAAAGGGGGAGGGGCTGATGCAGAGCAATGGCTCACAGAGTAACTGTCACCGGAAACGGGCAGTTCTCAGCATCAAATACCCCAATGTTTCCTTAGTGAAATATGGTTTCCATCCGGCTGCAAACACGTGGAGGTTGAGGCAGAACTAAAGGCAGGACAGAGGTGCAGGAGGGTTCCCAGGAGATGCATCTCAGTCACTCACAGGCTCCTCTTTACATTAGAAACCTTTGCCCTTCTGACTGATCATCTCCCTTCTCACGCTCTCTATATGTTAAAATGGAGACCACAAAGCCAATCTGAAGACATTTCCAGGAGGTAATACAGCTGCATGTAAGTATGATGTTTATAACTACATCTTACAAAAGGTCAACACATCACTCTAGTTTATTTCTTTTAAATCAGAGAATGACTCAGTAAGGGGGATATTACTGCTGCATTTAATTCAAATACACGCACAGCCATGTGACTCCCTTCCTTCATAAATTTTTCTCTAGTTTTAAGATCACCAAGTACTCAGTGAGTACTTTCCAGGTGGGAAGCACCTAGAACTTTCTAAGCAGAGAGAGAATATACAAACAACATCAGAAAGAGAGCACTCCACTGTTGAAAAGGTACAGTCTTGGTGGGTCTGGACACAAAGCAGAACTCACACATGTGAGATGACCAGAGAGCAATCTAAATTATATAGATGCTATACAAATATAAGCTGAACAACAGGAGGTACGAGGGACTCGTTGCAGGTGCAGCAGCAGCACTAGGCAGGTTGAGGCTTGAAGAGCAAGAACAGCTCACTGTGTCCCGTCCACTAAGCTCCCGGAAACAAGCTACAGACCCGCAGGATGCCAGCAAGATAAAGGAGAACCACGGCCTCAGGAACAGTCCAGAACAGACAGAAATGAAGGAACGAAGAGACGGAGTGGGCACGGGAAAGCCAAGAAAACCACGGAAAGATGGAGCCATGCAGATGGGAAGGACAAGGGTGTAGGAAGAGAAGAGAACACCAAACTGAACTGGTTAAAATCAGGGCCTGGGGAGATGGAGGGCCTATCAGTTCAGAGCACTTGTTGCTCTTACAGAGGAGCCGGGCTTGATTCCCAGCACACCCACGGCGGCTTACAACCACCCACAACTCCAGTTCCAGGGATCTGAAGCCGCCTTCTGACTTCCTCTCCACCAGTCACACAGGTGGCACACGTACATACATCTAGGCAAAAAGTCGTAGACATAAAATAATCTTTAAAAAGAATGGTTAAGATCAGCTGTCTCATGCTGGCAAAGGTAATGCAAACAGAGACCAGCACACGGTGGCTCTTCTTCCTCAGGACTGTGGTGATGCCCTTGTCCTTCTGCTGCAGGGAATGCACCCACTCCATGTAGTAGCATCAAGTCCGGAAGAGATGAACAGGAATGGGTTTGGCTTGTTTGTGACAGGAACAGTATTTAGTTAAGAAAGGCCTGATAAAAAAAATAACTTACGTCATCAGGTTATGAGGATAAGCCCTCCACAGGATAGTTGGATCTGATATATAGTTCTCCTAAGAGACAGGAAAATTGGCCTATGAGTACCATGCAAACATTTACAATTCCCCACAAAAGGTTCCAAAGAGCAAGCTAAAACCCAATGTTGTAGCTCTCCAATGTGATCTGAACGGCCTATGCTAGCTAAGTTAAGTATGAGACATAAACCAGGTAGGATACAGTACCCGATTTCAAGTATCCTTCAGCGCTGTACAGGAGAGAAAGAAGTACCGCAAACTAACGGTGTGCAATGAACAGCAACAGAACGTGACAGCTGTGGGCCAGCTTTGTGAGGATGTGTTTTATCCATGTAATCAGAGAACGGAAAATAGCACTTCTTGACAGAAGTCCACAATGAGGCAATGCACACAATGCTCTGCAAATCTTGTTCTCAGAAAACTGGATGTATTTGGTGAAAAATTAACAAGAAACAAAGCAAAAACAAAAAAACCCCAAAAACAAAAAACCCCAACTCTCCAAAACCTAAAGTGACAACTTTAAGAAGACTATGTATGTGTCCCTGGAGCAACTCTTTTTTTTTTTTTTTTTTTGGTTTTTCAAGACAGGGTTTCTCTGTGTAGCCTGGACTGTTCTGGAACTCTCTCTGTAGACCAGGCTGGCCTTGAACTCAGATATCCGCCTGCCTCTGCCTCCCGAGTGCTAGGATTAAAAGCCCATGCCACCACTGTCCGGCCCAATGTAATTCTTACACTGAAAGCTCACATAAAACAGATTTTAAGCTGACATTTCCTTTATGTCCATTACATCAGTGAGATGGGCTGGACACTGGGTTGAGAAGTTGAGTTTTAATACACCTCTGACATTAAGTCTAGATCCCAGGCATCTTACTTTGGCTCTTATTAAAATCCACCATGAAGATTTAAAAGAATCATGTGCTTAACCATCTCAAAAGTGTGGAAAGCCACATAACGGAATATGAAGGGTGCTGTTATTTAACATTAAAGTTGACACTGGCCTCCCTCTCCTCACTAAAGAGAGCTGAAGGTCCTGATCGTCTTACTTGAACATTTATATCCTTAAGTTGCTTGGGAGCCGCCCGGACTGTTTCGAGGAGGAACTGACTAACAACATTTCTGCTTTTCTAACCCCGGCAAGCTGAGGCTGACATGGGATCCTTTTTGTGAATGGGGAGATCTGCAAGTGCCAAGATCTCAGGATGACATCCCCAGTCAGCAGCTCAGACTCTCCGCTCTCGGGAAATTACTCTTAATTACCCTCCTTCCCGAGCAGAGGGCTCAGTGTGAATGAGGTTCAGACCGCCGAGTGACATACTTACAGAGATGAGAATGAACGTGCCCCAAACACAAGCAAAAAGGTAGAATGCACTAAGCTGACCAGACTCATTAAACTTGCTGTGTTTTGTCTTGGAGAAGTGCATTCGTCTGTTAATTTTCTAAAAACAAAGGCAGGTATTAGTACTCAAGAACACAGCACACAACACACCTAACATACCATGACTGCAGCATGGAGAACTAGCAGTGCTCTACAAAATAGGATTTCTAAGAGTGTATACTTACATCCAACACATACTCCTGAATTATGGCGTGAACAATTATCGCCACTAGCATGTAGAAGAAAACTGTAGCCAAATCTTTGAAACCATAGTAATAAAGGGATGCTGATTCAGTAGCTTGTTCTTCTGAAAGCCAAAAAGGACACACACACACAAAAAAAATATATGTGAGATTATGAAAACAGCACTCGGTACAACATAGCTATGGAAACAAACAAAAGGAGATTAACTGAGTAAACTTCTACAGCGCTATCACGGTTTTTCCTGAGTGTCCCCAGCCATGGGGAACGGAAGCTCAAGAGGCCGTCTGCCACCCAAAGCTCCACGGAATACTTACAGAAGACCTGACATATGTTAGTCACGGCCACCAGAAACCAAACACAGGGAGCCACCACGACCTGGCGGACTTCACCTAGCCTACTCTCTCATCTTCTGGAGAGCCTCCGCGCCCTCCGGCTGGACTTGCACTGGCCCTCCATTATGATTCTCCCTGAAGGTAATTTGACTTGTTTGCTTTGGTTCTGGTTTCCAAGCACCAGAGAGATGCAGTTACTACTTAAAAGTTACGTTAATTTTTGAATTTGCTTTCAGTTTTTCAAAATAAATGTTCGTATTTATGAGTTGCTGGCATCTGTTCGTGGAGTTCTGAGGTCTGTTTAGGGGCATTTAGGTGACAACATCATTCTGGCATCTCCAATGCCACGCAACACTACAGTCTCGAGCAACTTGTTTCCCCAGCCACTCAACCAAGCATTTGTGAAACTACACACAACAGAATCAACTCAGCCTGTCGATTCTGAAGTCCCTCTGGTCTTCCGCCAGGGTGGGAAAGCCCGGACCAGGTCCCTGGCAGACACATTCCCTTTTCCTTAAGGCAGCAGCGGCATCTTCTCTCTGCTTCCCAGAGCCAACTACAGAACTCTGCCGCAGCCAACTTCCCACTGCAGCTTCACTTTTACAGAGCATAACTTGGAAACAAACCTTTCTAAAATGAAAGTATAATGTGGACACAATTTTCTGAGAATTCCTAGAATTTACTAATATTTTCTCTAGGCAAAATATTTGCTTAAGGCAGAATTAAAAAAAAAAATGAAAAGAGTAAGTCTGAAGGGATTATCCCTGGCCTAAAGTATAACAAAGGGCAGGAAAACTGAGCCAGAACAGCGCACTTCGAGAAGTCCGCCTGCCCAACAACCTGCATGAGCTCATTGACTCTCAGGAGTTCCTTCAGGAGAGGATTAGAGGAAGCAATACAAAGAAGTCTCCGATGGAATTTCAAGACCATGCACAAAATATATAAGAAACAATCAACACATAAAACCAGGTTTCGTACCCTGCTTAGGATAAAAGAAAGCCCAGACACTAGAGATTAACATAGATTTTAGTGTCCGTGGATACCTCCCGATTTGTTCAATGGCATGTCTGCATAAAGACCTACCTGTCGCAGGCCGAGTGACATTGTACTGAAGAGCAACGAAGACGATGGCTGCTTTTGCTGTTATCTGGGGGCAGAAAGCACAAGAAACGTCAGCTGTCACTCTCCCAGATGAGTACATCAAGGGCAAAAAGATCACAGGTTCTGCCCCCAGCTTCACGAAGCAAGGCCCCCGATTCCGTGGCACCTTGGGTAGACACAGTGGGAACTTCTGATCACAAGTAGCGTCTGGAGTTAGGACAAGTCATTGAAGGATTTTTCTGTAATTCGGATCACATAACCCATGTGTACTGTTGACATTTCAAAAATAAAACGATGGCTTCGGTTGACCCAGTAAATAATGATTTCTCAAATATCGATTCTCTATTACAGAACACTCACTGAAGTTCCCATCAAGGAAAACGTGTAAATTAATAAAAGGAAGCAGAGTTTGTGTAACTGAGGATGGACCACGTGCAGGGTCTATGTGTTCATCCCCTCCCCCGCATGCCTGGTTAACTGGTCAGCAGGTATCTCATCAACTTGACTACTGGTCAAAGTAAAGTGGTCAGAACACAGGATGGAATGTTTACTCAGCACTCACAGGCACCAAGGCCAGTGCTCCACCAGAAAGGCTCAAATGCTGATGAATGAACTAATCCCATGACAAGAAGCCGGGTTGCGTCAGGGGTGGTAAACAGACCATTCCGATACCGCAGGATCTGGGCCAGCCATCTCCACTAGACACTCAGGATAAAGGACCAAGCTCTCTGCTGGTCCTTGGGGTAGGAAATGCTTCTCAGAGGTGTGGGCAAGAGCTTGTCTGACGTCCCCGAGGTGCACAGGGGGTGAAGAGAGCAGCAGAGGCAGAAACAAGGTAAACCTGAGGTCAGGCCACAGTACACAGACCAGAGGCAGAAAAACACAAACAGCACTGAGGTGCTTCAGTGTGACCCCAAGATTGTTAAGGAGGGGTGGTAACCTACACGGGTCTCAGGCCCCCTTGGGTTCTCCACACCACCACCGTCATCTTACCATGCTCCCTGCTCTACCTGCGGACAACCTTCCTGGCACAGTGTGGCCGACGCGCCTCCCCGTCTCCAAAGGTCCCCTCTGCTTTCTGGCCCCTTCCACAGTCTCCTCCTGTTAAAGCTCAGTTCCATCACATCTGTCTTCTCAGAGTGGGGCGCTCCTCTGTCAGACCACCCCAAGGGTGCCCCTCTCCTTCCAGTCACACGACACGGCGGGACTGCGTTCACTTCTACCGTACCCATTACGAAATAAGTGCCATCTGAGCTGGGGTCCTGCCAACATCATCCAGTCACTGTGCTCAGAACCTAGTATGGGGAGGCTGCAGAGGCGGCGCAGCCGGGAAGGGCCTTGTCACCAAGCCTGACGACCTGAACCCAACCCCAGCAGCCCACACGGTAGAGGGAGAGAACTGACTCCTGGAGGTTGTCTTCTGACCTCCACAGTGAGGTATGAATGCAATGGTGAAGAAGGGCACAGCATGGGACCTAGAAAATACGAGGCAAGTCGTCCGTATGACAGATAAACAGAAGGTGAAACACCACAGCGTAAACATGCAAGCCAAGTTTAAGACTTCTGCAAGACAGCCAATGAAGGACAGTAGAGTTGGCACCAGAACGGTGGGGTGGATAGAGGAGGCACTTAAGAGGCCAAGTAACGCTTGGTAAGCAAAAGAAAGGGTCCCCACGACGTTACTTACCGGTGCTTACAGCGTGCACAAGACGGTGGCAAACGCTAAAAAAAACGTGGAGTACAAGAAGAGCAGGTTTTGAACGGAAGGGAAGAAACTGATCAACTAACTGAGATTCCTGGGAGATGCATGGTTGCAAACAGCTGCTGGCCACTTACATCCAAATCTAGAACCCGGCGGGCAGAAGTGAGCTTAAAGACTCGGGAATTGCTATTTCTGGACAGAAGCTGAACTGTGGGAGCGTTTTCATCATCGACACAAGTGTGCACTGTGTAGAGTGGACAGAGAAGGCCAAGACTCAAGTCCCTGCTATGCATGGGTGTCTCCTAAAGGCCCATGTGCCAAAGCCTGGCCCTCAGCCCATGACCACTAGGACCAGGAGTTCGTGGAGTCTGGCGGGAGCCTTCCTGGTCACCTGGCCCGTGAGGCGCCACTGTCCCCTGTCTCCTGCTTCTCGGTCAGGATGTGAACAGCCGCTGCTCCGTCCGGTGTTCACTCCACTACAGACCCAGAGCAGTTGGGTCACCTCAGGATGGCCCAACTTCCCACACTGTGACATCATGGGAAAGCCAGCGGTCTCCTAACCTAAAAAGAAACGTCAGTGACAGAAAGCGAACATCCCCAAAGCCTGGAGGAGAATGTCTGAAAAAGCGGAGGAGTTACAAAGTCACGTTTCCCAAAGGTGAGATAAGGAAGTCCTCACAGGTCACAGCTTGAGAGATGTCAGTGAAGGATTCGGAGACGTCAAACTGCAGTGGACTGAAAGCCTAAGTGTGACAAGATGGCACCAGATTCTCTTAGCTGACAGTCATGATGATGCTGTTTTTAGGAGTGGACAGATAATGAGTTTGTGCCAAAGGACAGTTCCCGGGGAAAAGGAGGAATTAAATACAAAGAGGAAAACAGTGGGAAGATGTGTTAGGAAGAGAACTATAAGCAGAGTTCTCCTGCCCGCTTCCTCCTCAGCTGTGACGGTGGCACAGGCTAAGTCTCCCTTATCCGCATGCCTGAGATCAATAGCAATTTGGCTTTTTGTTTTTACATTCTGGGGTGTCTGCACAAATGCCACGGGATGTTTTGCAGATGGCACTCAGCTCTAAGCACAGAATTCCTTCATGTTTCTTATATACCAATATATATATAATATATATGGGATGGGCCCTGTGTTGGACTGATTTGTCATGAGTCAGGGGTGGACTTACTGTCTCACTTAAGTGAACTGAAGAAATTTATACGCAAGGGAGTGGAGGGAGAATGAATGAACGAGGATCCACCCACCAGCCCACCCAGTCTCTGTGTATCTGTATCTCTCCACACACACACACCCATCGCCACACACACACACACACACACACACACACACGCACACGCACACGCACACACCCATCGCCTTACACACACACACACACACACACATGAGGTAGGCTGGCCCGGTATCTGACATGCAGCTGAGGCTACCTCAGAACTAAAATCATTCCTCAGCCTCCCCAGCCCTAGCATCACAAGGCTGTACTACCACAGCAGCTGACATCTGATAAAACTTGTTTTACTTACAAGCAGGGGCGTGGGGGGGGGGGGTGGTATATATAATGAATGCAATGCTGCCTGGCCAGGACAAGCACAAGATGGCAGGTCATGTCTGAGGCAAAATTCTGTGATATCAACACGTGCATGCTTGTTTCTAGAACCCCTCAACAATGTAAAGTGAGATGCATATAAAAGGCAGAAACAGCTGGGTTATGTTGGTGCAGGCTGCAATCCCAGGACTCAGGTGAGGAAAAGGCCAGGCACAGCAAGGACCAGCAGTCCCCGCTTAGGCACGGCTCTCAGGTATCCGTGGTCAAGGGCAGCCTTGAAGACACGGAGACTGACGGGAGGCCAGTTTTAAACTGTGTTATCGCGAGCAGTGTGGTGAGTCCCGTGCTGTTTCACTGTCTAACCCAGGCCATCAACCACCTCCGTCAGGTGCGCTCACCATGCAGGCACTGCTGGCCTGTTACGGCTGCTGTGGCTCCTGGATGAACTCAGGGCAGTGCTTGTGCCCGGTAACCTTGACACCGTAGCCTGACACGTGCATCATCCGCCTCATTTCATCTCACCTCACCTCAGAAGGGTGGACACAGCGTAAGAGGATAACGAGAGGCCGCCTCCCCGTAACTGGTATTAGAGTGTAATTGTTCTATCTTATTACTGTTGTTAATCCTTCATCACACTCGGCTTATTAAACCATCACAGATATTGCATATAGCAAACTCACGGAACCCACAGTGCAGTAAAAGATGAGGCTGCAGGCATCCCTGGGGTTCTAACGCTGCCCTGTGGAGAGGGTGCAGTGGGTGTCCTTGAGCTAAGTTTACAGGAAGAAAAATGAAGCAGCGAGAGCTAAGACACGGGAGGAAAGGAAGAGGCAAGGTGACTCCAGCAGCGTGGACCAGCTAGAGTTGGCGGAAGGACGGGGGTGGGGGTGGGGGGCAGTAAACACTGTGTGGGCTGTGTCTGAACTCTGCTACCCTAGGACTCTTGATCTAGAGATAACTCAGGCCCATGATTAAAACGAAACAAAACAAACCCGTCTAGAATATGGTCACTAAAGTGAGTTACTGAGCGGGGAGGCTATGAAGACAAGAGCTAACAAGGGGAGAGCATTAAAACCTGGGGAGGCGGCTGGGGGGGGCACTGCTGGTTGCCAAGATTGACACCTGAGTTCAATCTTTGGGATGCCTGTGCTAGAAGGAGAAAACTGGCTCTTGCAAGTCACCTTCTGACACCTCCCCAACATTCTGTCTGTCTGTCTGTCTGTCTCTCTCTCTCTCTCTCTCAATACAAGGCTAAAAAAAGATTTAAAATAAAATGAGATCTGGTGGGGCCAGCAAGATGGCTTAGAGGTTAAAGGCTGACAACTGTGATTCCCTGAACACATACAATGACAGGAGAGAACAGATTCTGCACAGTTGTCCTCTGGCCCCGACACACGTGTGGTGGGTATTTGGGCACGTATATGTGCATAATATCTATACTGTCTCTTCTGCTGCCTCCATGGCCCCCATTTTCAGTTTCTAATATGAGGTCATCAATACTACAGCTAGAGAAAACTTTGTTTTCCATCATACATGGCAAATGTAAGTCTTCAAAGATAAATATAGCACCAAATTCTAAACACAACAAAAATTAGATTATCCTTTTATGCAAGGCTTCTAAATAAAATTAAGATCTGGCTTCCAGCCGGCTTAGCATGGGATATTAGGCAAGAGGGAAAAATAAGGGCTCTACCCACCAAAAATGTCCAGTGGAAGCCATCTGTTGCCACGTCCAGCTTCCTAAACTTCATATCCCATCCAGCACTGCTTCAGCAAGCTGGCAGGAAGATGTAGAGTATAAACATGCCACCTTGGTGCTTATTACTTAAATAGTAAAAATGGCCGTTTTGGACATTTATACTACTATCCACTTATAAGAAAAAAAGTTAAATTAATTTAGATCTATCTTACATAGGTTACCACAATCTAATGAGAGATCCAAGTCTACATATGCAAAGTCATAAGATTTCAGTAGGTTTTTTGAGTGGCTATCAGTAGGGGCTTGGTGTCTTCATATTATAAAGAGGAAAACTATTCTGTACTGTTAGAGGTAGGCATGATTACTGTACACACGGGATTCCTAAAGCCATGTGAATTTCTGACTATCAAATTCTACTTCTCCATTGTTTATATAAAATTGTTTTTTAAAAGATGGGGTAATGCCATTAAAGCAAGCTATGTTTACAAATAAAACCTGGCCGGGTGGTGGCGCACACCTTTAATCCCAGCACTCAGGAGGCAGAGGCAGGCAGATCTCTTGAGTTGGAGGCCAGCCTGGTCTACAGAGTGAGCTCTAGGACAGCCAGGGATACACAGAGAAACCCTATCCATAAATAAATAAATAAATAAATAAAAACTTGTGGGACTGTATAGATGGCTTAGTGGTTAATAGCACTTGCTGTTTTTCCAGAGGATCCAGGTTCTATTCCCAGCATCTACAAAGCTCACAACTAACTTCAATTCCAGGGGATCTGACACCCTCTTCTGGTCTCCAAGGGCACCAGGCTTACAAGTAGTACATAGACATGCATGCAGGCAAAACATCCATACATGTAAAAAATTTAAAACCCAATACAAAGGTGTCCTCTCATCTCTACACATGTGCTGTGGTACAAAGACTTGTGTGTGCATATGCGCGCACATATGAACCAATAAATCTAGAAATAAATTAAGTGATCCTTTAATACTGTCCCATGATAACTGTAAATATCAATATCCACAAACCTATCAGGTACAAACAGCCAAATAGCCTATGGATTCCTGACCGCCCATCTTCAAGGTCTAGCCTCTCAAGGGTTCTGTGGAGCCCTCTACTCTTCCATAGCATCCCTTCCAGGAAGCTTCCAAAGAAGCCTTACATCCTTTTATACTGTTCCGTTTTCCCTACTTTAAATACAAAATCACTAACAGTATTTGCATTCTGTAGATCAACAACGGCTGTAAAAAGAAAACATTATTATTTACAAGATTTGTATAATAAAAAGGTCCTACAATTAAACATTTCCCTTAGATTACTTCTTCCTCAATCTTGAGAGAGAGAGAGAGAGAGAGAGAGCGAGAGAGAGAGAGAGAGAGAGAGAGAGAGAGAGAGAGAGAGAAAGGGAAAGAGAGAGAGAGAGACTTCTGTTTTTAATCTGCCATCTGTTTTCCAACCTGGATGAATTTCTAAGGAATAACCATAGCTACCTTCCTATAAGTCAAACATTGAGTGAGGCACTACATATAATAGGTAATTTAAGTCTTGGAATAACCCATTTCTAGATAAGGACTCTTAAGTTCTGATAGTCCCTAACTTGAATTAGCTGCAGAATGCAGACTTCTGGAGTATTCCTGTGTGCCTGTCTGTTTGGCTAGTAACACACCAGGTCAGTTCTTCTTGGTTTCACCATAAATCTCCTAATATTTCCTCAATATTCTTCCACAAAAGGCTTAACGGTTCTGTAAAATAGCAGCCTTTCAATTATTTCAGCATACATACTGTACTTCTATAATTAGATTGACTGAGATTTAGCGGTAATTATTTTAAAAGTCAAACAGCAAAAACCCATCCAGCCAGCTTCTCCTGCGTATAAATAATGTGCCTTCAAAACCTAAATCTTTAACATATGGTTAAGGAAAATGAATGACTTGCACAAATGCTCTGTTCTGTTTACCATTTTAGCACTCACTCCTTTTGGGAGTGATTTTAAAAGCTATGTAGTATTAAAACAATCCACTTATTGTTAAACCTTTAGTCCCAGCACTTGGGAGGCAGAGGCAGGTGGTTCTTGTGAGTTCGAGCCCAGCCTGGTCTACATTGCAAATTCCAGGACAGCCAGGGCTACACGGAAAGACGCTGTCTCCCCTCCCCTCCCCAAATAATCATCAACATAAGAGTGACTTTCCCTAAAAAATGTGGCAAAAGAATACCAAGCAGTTTACATAAAAACAGAGCTTGTGGTGTCCAAATTTCTGGTTTATACTTCACTTCACTTAAAGCATTGCAAATGTGTTCTACAGATCATCACAGCCCTAATTATGCCTCTCAAGTTAGGAATTCTTACCAGGAGGAGCTGGAGATGGCCAGTCATAACAAACTGCTGTGCACAAGAAAGGATTGCATTTTATTTTTATTACTATTATTTTTAAGACAGGGAGGGACTCGGAATTCACTATGTAGTCCACACTGGATTTGAATTCACAACTCTTCTGCCTCAGATTCATGACAAGCATCTACCAACTACTTTGATGTATTACTTTTAATATCATAGCAGGAAAAAAATGTCATAAATTCAGAGATCACAAATATTTAGCATCGTGTGTGGCTGATACTGAGCCCAGAGCCATACTTCTGACACACGCAAACAAGCAAGCACCAGGGACTGGGGGTACAGGTCAGGTCTAGAGCTTCTGCCCAACCTGCACCAGCCCTGGGTTCAAGATCGAATAAATAATTAAAGCAGGCATTTGACCACAGGGCCACGCACCAAACCCCCCATTTTAAATACCACCCAATCATATAATACTGTCAGACTTCCACGAGCCACATTATCTGATCGACTCTTCAACAACAGCTGTGTGGCCTGTGCAAGTGATTTCTACTTCGTTTGTTAGGGGGAGACAAATTACGTCTCAGGTTGGGGTTGCTAGTAAGCTCTTTGACAAGGTGGTTCTACTTTCCCTTCACTCTGTCACCCCCTCAGGAGTGGCTACAACTCCATGTGACACTGTGAGTAGTGCCCATATGTAGATTCAGAAAAGTCTATTAGAAGAGAAGCAAGCATAACATAAAGTTATCTAATGATCACACACACACACACACACACCCCAAATGGGCTCAATGGAAAACCAAAACCCAATTCCATCAGTTTCTCGCTTTCACTCACATCTTTTAAGCTCTATTCTCGACAGTAGGAAAAAAAAACTAGTAAAAATGAATAATAAAATATCCTCACTAGGTTACATGCCAAGGGGAGAGGAGACAAAATGGTAATCATCAATATATTTAATGAAACTCAGGCTTACAGATAAAAAAATTAGACGTGGGGGGGGGAGTGGGCGGATGTACCGAGGAGGGTGGAAAAAACCCGTAGGATGTTACAGGTTCACCTTGCAAACTTCATTACCCACATTCAACAGCTGTTAAATAAGTCATCAAAATACTGAGATCTGTGGGAAGAGAATTTACACACTCCTGACAGTCTCGTCGCCTCTGCTTCGAGAAACGAAAGCGCTCAACTCCTCAACACAGCTGTTGCGAGCCGCGGTCGGGATCAGACCCGATCCTCCTCGGGGAACCGAGGGGCAGGGCGGAAAGTTGGGTGAGTGGCCGTCGGCGGGGCGAGGGGGGCACCGGGTGACCCCGTCCCCGCCCTCCGCGCAGGCGGCAGCCGCCGGGGTGGGTCGGGGGTCCCTGTCAGTCACCCGGCCCTG